GCTTCACCATATAAACTTCTATATGGTCATGATCCAATATTACCAATAGAGCTGGGTTTACCTTCGCGATTGCCACGAGCTCCTGATGCTAGGTCATGGGATCAATATTTGACAAGCATTCTTCCACTTGTCCGAGCAGAGTCTGCTGAACACTTAGGCCGCATACAAGTGGGACAACAACGGCGCTACAATTCCCATCATCGTCCACCAGCGGAGTACAAAGTGGATGATTTGGTGTTAGTCCGTTTTCCCCATCTTACGGTACGTGGTTTATCTAAGGGGCTCCTTGCGCAGTGGAAAGGACCGTATCGGGTGTTGCGGCAAGTTGGACCACAAGCTTATGAGGTTCGGCATGACGTTCAGCAGGCTGATCCTCCAGAGATTGTGCATGTGCAGCGGTTAAAACGCTTCATACAGAGGGATCAGGAGCAGTTAATACCGTCTACAGATCCACCGATGCCTCCTCCTGACGTTCCTCCAGATCCCGGCCCATCTACAAGAGAACCCTGACGGCCTTCCATGATTCCGAGAGGAGGGGATGATGTGAGGGCCAAGTGTACGGCTACGATGCCGTATACTAATATTAGCATAGTGGATTTTGGTAGCCGTCGGATTGGTTTCAATCCGGACCACTCACTCCTGTATATAAGCTAGGGTTTTTGGGTTAATTGATATGCACATTTCTGTATTCCCTTTCCATATTCCATGCACTCACAAGGTGAAATCAATTTGACAATTATTAAAATTCCATTATACTAATATTAGTATATAGTATTGTAATCATACACTTTTATCCCCTTTTCTTGGAATGATAGAAAATAGTCAAAGTTATTTGGACCTCACATCATCCCCTTTTCTTGGAATGATGGAAGATAGTGAAAGTTATTTAGTGGACGGGTCAAGATCTAAAGAAATATCAAAAGGAGGTATCGGTGGATCTATAAGTAGTGTCAATTATTCTTAATCCTTTTGTATAAAGTATTTCAACTGTTACATATGTATAATTTTTGGAGGATCAGATTGTTAGATGTCATGCTAAACATTATAAATTTGTGGTCTAACGTGCTATAACACCTAATATAGTCCCTTCCACTGAGCAAGTAGCCTTTTAGATAAACCACATACTGTAAGATTGAGAAAACAGACTAATACTAAGTTATCCACTCTGTACTTTGTAAGTGGACGATGATGGGAGTTATAACGCTATTATTATCCTACTTGTATGTAGCTCAAATGTTCAATAGACTCTGCTTGGATTAGTGAAAGAATGCTCATCAAATACTAATCCTAAGACCTAGCATTGGTAGCTTATGGCAATTGCAAAGTTAAACTCAACTCTATTGGTAGTATTGGATCATGACGATATAAGAGATTATATGGTGATGCATCAATAAAACTCTACACCTCTATGATATACATATACCGAAGAAACAACAAATAACTATCCTAATTTGAATGTTGAAAGTTCATATACTTTACAATCATTCATTTGAAGGTCCAAATGAGCCATTCTACCAAACCATTTGATTATGGATGATAAGCACTTATAAAAGTGTGGTATATTCCTAATCAAGACTTTAAGACCAAGACCATTATCTGAAAGAATTCATTTTGGGTAGGAATGCTGGAACACCACTTGATTAAGAAGGAAGTATCTAACAGTAGTTGCAAATATACTAGCAAGAGCTCTGACTTCCACTTAACAAGTCAAGTAGTCAAAAACCATAATGATATACTCATTGCCAACAATCGACTATGGAAAAGGCTTTATCATATCAAACACTACTAACTCTAATGGACAGGAAATTGTAATTAACTTTAACTGTCCTTCCGCAACATAAGGAGGATGTAGGCCACAAAGCTTTTTCTTTCCAATTTGCCAACTTATTTCGTTTATCTGACCACCACTGCTTTAGCTTTAGTTAAGTTCTTTTGCCAAGGTTCCCATATATTGTACTAACTCCTATTTGGTCCTACTTAGCTTCAGCAACTCACTACATGAGCAACAGAATGTTAGCCATCCATCCACGAATTCCCAAATTCTTTTCCAATCCCCCTCCCCGGGTTAGATTGGACTTAAGGTTCAACTACACACCCTGCAGGCACAAGTAGATAAGCACACCAAACCTCCAGATTCCTAACATCCCATAGTATAGCAAGATTTGATTATAGGACCCTATAAATCCTAAGCCTTAGGTGCAACACTTGCTTTAGGACACCAAGGAGAAACACCATAACCTAACGGCCTGGTATGGGTACCCCTACTCCCCCATTTCCATCTTGAAGGGAAGGCCCAAAGGGCGAGGACAAATGAGTCACAAGGTACTTAAGTGGGGCACCACTCCACATGAGCTAGGAGCACTGTAGTTAGTTTCCCTTCTGGGAGTGGGAGCTACTTTTGAGCACTTCCTTGGGTGGCCCCTCCAGCACCACTTGAGTCTATGCTCACTCCCACCTAAGGCCCCTAAGCCCCAGTCTCAACCTCAAGTCAGTTTGGAAGCACCACTAGAGAGTTCTTTCAAGACTAGTTCGTATACCTCACTATCCTTACTATACTTTTAAAACCCCCTACAGCCCTCTCCCCCCCCCAGGAGACAAATGCTTTGGGCTTTCACCCCATGACCTATATTAGTATTCGGACTTAATCTTGGACTCGATCTCAGACTCAACCTCGGACTCGGTCTTAGACTTGATCTTGGACTAGATCTTGGACCCGACCTTGGACTCTGTCTCGAACTCGGTCTCAAAGTCGGTCTCGGACTCGGTCTCAGAGTTGGTCTCGGACTCAATCTCGGACTTGGTTTCGAATTCAGCCTCAGAATCGGTCTCGAACTTGATCTCGGACTCGGTCTCATCTGATAAACTCTTTATCATTTTGGTCGTGCTTTTGGGGATCCTTCAGCCTATAACACCTCGGGGAGTTGGTTCATTATAAAGGAATATTACAAGTTTGGCACTAAATATAGCTACACATATATTAGATAATATCATGTCGCATCTCCAGCCAATAAAAAGACTTGTATAACTTCTCAGTCACATGATAATGTGTGATATGCCCATCTAAAATAGGAGAATTATGGTAGATTTGGAGAAAGTGTGGAATAAAGATTGAAGGCACCACTAGTAGTAAATAATCATCAAGATCTGTCCCCACAAAATAAAAATTAACCTCAAGGCAATATTAATAATGTAAATGCCAAAATGGCAAGTCATTAGCAAGTGATGCAAAATTCTCAATCCCGTTGCGAAGCTTTCAGATCCACAACTCAACTTTTTGAGCCTTATGAATCTCATCAAGAGAAAGTAAATCTTGCTCTATATCTTGTGAATATTGAACATCAAATACAACAACTATTGATGGCATGGAATCTTTATCCAAAATATCTATAAATGTTGGAACAACAAGTTCATCAAAAATATGAAAAGAGAGCAAAGAAGGAAGAGGAGCTTGTGAAAGGGTGTCAGCATCAACTATAAAACTCCTTGGGTGGTGAACAACATTGAAATTATATATCTAAAGTTTTAAAGCCCACCTAACAATACAACTAACCAAGTGCTTTCGCTTTAATAATGAAGTAATTGCAGCATGAACACCTTTTAATTGTAAATAGGCATGAAGTTTCTCAAAACCCTAAACTACTATTAAACATTCCCTTTTTGTCGTGGAGTAATTCACCTTTACTGGTTGTAATATATAGATTATGTATGCAATGGGATGGCGACACACTCAAGCTCTCTTACATTCGAAGACCAATATTAAAAGCATCCACGCACAAAATAAAAGGTCGAATGTAGTCAGGATATGCCAAAATTGGAGGAATCATCAATTCTTTGAGATCCATAAATGCCTACTCACAGTTCATGGATAAGATGAAAGATGACATTGACAACTTCAATAATGTTCATAATAGTGCAAGATAATAAAAAAGATAATAAAAAAATAGTTGAGATATTGCACCTTATTTAAAGTGAGATTCTTCCAAGTGGTTAAGTGATTAAAATAGAATGGAAAACTTAGTCACTTACAACAATAAAGACAAATAAAATATATAAATTAAAATCATAGAGATATAAAGTTTAAATTTGGCAAGAAGGTGTAGCTGAATACGAAGACCCTAAGGTTACTAAGTAGGATAAGCCATAAAGTATAGTTTATTTATTCTTGGAATGAAGTGATATTAAATTCTTTAAATAGGTTTACAATTGAGGCTTAATAAAATTGAGGCTTAAATTGGTAGGGTACCATCTCAAATGTCCTCAGGAGATGGGGAAAATGACAATATTATACAAAAACTTATTCAAGTTATACTTTGAGGACCTCCTTCATGAAAAGACAAGCCTTGAGCTTGTGTATAATCAACACAATGGCCCTAGGGTTGTGACCTTGAATCTAATAGATCAAATCTTTAGAGTGTTCTCTTGAGAGGATTGAGAGAGTTTTAGAGAGGATTTCTGAAGTAGGAGAGAGTACCTCATGGCCTGCTAGTGGCAATGTAATGGCCTTAAGCAAATCTAAGGGATAGAAGAGTGTTTTTGGTCTCTTTCTTCCAAGGGTGTGTAACAGTGGGGCAATTGCACTTTGCCCAGTGTTTTGGAACTCCCATCTTGTCAGTTCTAGAGTGGTTTGCAGCCAGCTAGTGGAAACACAATAGCCCCATCCCTTTTCTCTTTCGCACAAGACCCTAAAAAATAGAAAAATAAAAGGTCATTCTATGAGAAGCCACCAGACTTGAGCAACCACCTATATAGAGAACAGAGGAAAATTGAAGTGCATCAAAAAGAAACTTAAAAGAGCCATCTCCCCTTTTTTTCACTCTAGAAAACCATGATCACATGTATACAAACTAAGGAATAAACTCTTCATTTTAGTCACTCCTTTTTGGAGTAATCTACCACCTAATTTTTATTAGTTTTTATAAGTTTTAATTTGATTAAGTGAAGTTTCTTTTGCTGGAGTAAAGTTTACTCGAAGAGTGAACCCTTACAAAAACAATGTTTTGGCAGACATCAGGGTTGGGCTGTCAAGGGGAAGGACACGAGATCAACGCGCCGTTTGGTTTTGGCCAGTACCACAGGCGAGCTGTGAGGGAATCGATCTCCTGCCGTGAAGAACAGATGATGAGTGAATCGTTCTCGGTGGCACAGCTGCCGAGTTCGTGCTTGTGTCACACGTTGTTCCAGTCCTCCAAAAGAAGGTGAAAGAAATTTATCCGAGCTTATAACTCACGATCCAATCTGGGTGTGGCGACATTCTCTCTTTTGTAGAAAGAGAGGAAATTGTAGCACAGTATGCGAGGTCCTCTGTTGCAGCCACAAGCGAACGGTACAATGAGTATTGTTTCTTTTCTTTGTCCATCATGACGGGTCGAGATCTTCGTGAGGTTGTTTGTCAACAGGCAGCTTCTAAGGCGAATTTCATTTTTATTACTGGGAAAGATTTTACATCTTCGATTCCTACAGCTAATCAAGGACTCGTTTCAAATCCACCCTAGCTTCGTCCTGCTCTGAAGTACATCGTGTCTGCTGCAAAGATACTCGTGAAATGGGCCGAAGAGCAGGTTGTACAGCAATCCTCCAGCTCTTTTTTATTGCCAGGCTTCACCTTTTACATAAGTCTGAGAATCGTTCAAGGAGCGCGGGTCTCAAGTAAGCTCTCATCCTTGACAAACAAGAGTCTCAGACCACCAAGCCTGGTAAGTCGTCGTCCTCCTTATCACTATCAAACTTCTCACTGTCGGCTGCGTAGGTTCTGTTTTGGAGAGCTCTCTTCCTCAGCATGTAGACGTTGAAGTAGTAGCTTACCAGGTCCTCCCGGCTCCTCCTTCCCGCGAAGGAAGCTTGGAGGTCCGGCCAAAACTTCTCCTCCTTGTCCCCGCGGCAGCTTCTCACGATCTCCGCAAACTCAGCTTGCTCTTGCCTGCTCCACTTGCCCGACTTGATCAAGCTCTCCCCCATTGTGTGGAATCCCCACTCCTGGAAGACGTCCTCTCCCAGCTCCAGCTTGAGCTTCCTGCGTTGCTCGTCAACGTGTTGCTTCACACAGTCTTCCGAACGATCGTCCGTGCAGAAGCACATACTAGTGGTATGGCTTCTCATCGCTCTTTTGGACCAGACCACTCTTCCTAGAAAGAGCTTCGAGTCGTCGTTGTCGGCATTGAGAGGCACGGAAGAGGGAACTTCGGCTTGAAAGCTTGGTCCGATTGGAACGCTCTCAGGCTCTGATGTTGGAGGCTGAAGTCTGGGTCGAGGTGTCAAAGAGCGAAGGCTATACTTGGAAGGTCGTCGTGGTCTATTGTTCTCGTATCTCTGAACATATAAGTAGACATAATTAGTTATGAAAATGACCATAAACTATGTAGGGTACCTTCTGGTGTCTGTATTGTTGGTTATCTTGCCTATGGAGGCGACCCAAAAACCCCCTTATTGTTGCTTGAAATTTCTCGTTCTCCCCTTCACTGTGGGCTACAATTCCTGGATCTAGAGCCAACTTCCTCACATGGGCTAGGGCCTCTTTGACATGAGAGTGGATTGGTCGCTTTACATTTGAGTCAACATTCCCTTTGGTGGCATTTGCAGGTGCAACACCAGCACCAAAGACTTGGCCACTCTCAAAAGCTTTAAGGTACTTGAGATACACTAATTTGACACTAGGCCCACAATGTGGTGGCAACCCTATAGAGGATGCTACATCCCCCCACTTTCTAGACCCACTAGTTTTAGAGTACCCACCTGATTCTTTCACTTTGTCTAGCAAGAGTGCAAGGTTCACTTTGCTGCCTGCTACGAAAGCTGGAAGTGGCCTCTGCCCAAGTGCTCTTCTAGCTTGTAATACCCACTCAACCTTCTTCTCAAATACACTCATCTCCTTATCAGACCTAAAGCCCACTAGGTAAGGATTTTGCACCTTAAAAGGGGCAGATAAGGGTTTCAAATATTGAAAGTTGCAACTCTTACAATGATTCTAATTTCAGAAATTTAGCACCAAATTGTTGCTGGTGACTGATTCGAGCAAACGCATCACAATAAGCCGTCACTTGCCAAATACAATTAGCTGCGACCAAATGTCAATGTATTTATACTCTTATGAGATGAGGCCATTGGCAAGTGGATACAGGTAGAATCATGTTGCACAGTGAGTTTGTCAAGTGAGAAAGACCTGGGGTTGTGTTTGGGAGTGTGCAGGGCGGCTGCTAGGGATTTTGAGGGGCATGAAGGATCGAGAGTTTGTATCAGTAGTTGCCAACTTCAGTGTTCACCGGCGGTATGGATAGCTTTTGTCAGCAATGCTAGAACTATCCTCTTGATGCTAGGTAGGACATAGTGCAGTATTTTCTGTTGCACTGTAACATGGATACATCATTGTGTTCGTTTCGATCCGGCTCAAGAGGCAATCACGTATCTCAAGCATTGTCTGCAAGGGTTAGATCGACCAGCAATCTGTTTTGCAAATGCTAGTCCGAGATTGGATTTCCTTGCGGTCTCTCTAGTGTGATTGGTGTGCATAGCAAGAGACTGGAGAAAGAGGCTTAACGTCACCAAGACGTGGTTTCTGATTGGATAGATCACTCGAAACGTTGCTCTGGACAAATACCAGGCTGGAACTTGTTTTCTCCTTTTGGAGAGAAAACACTAGAATGTCTCCGTGGAGATGTGGCATACTCATACTCAACATACCTCGAAAAAAGGTAGGTTGTTCAAATATATGGAGCTTTATACTGAATTCCAGCGGGAATTAAACACATGCTGGTGCATCTACAGCTTGATAGCTTCATGCATCCTACCATCGGCAACCATGCTCTTACGCTTGTCAGCTTTGCTCAGAAGAATAGATGCGCGATTTAGTTGGACAGCTAGGCAGCCCTGCAGATAGTGTCCAGCTAGCCTTGCAGATAGTGTTCTTTGTCCCAGGCCTGGGGAGTCCGAGTGGTATGCACGCTCGTGTGTAGCTGGAGAGTGTGTAAGAGACCGAATTTTTTTGTAAGTGTGCTCGGTAGACCACTCGCACCTTGGGACGACTGAGATGACATGCAGACCTACACGGTTCAGACGGCTCTGCAATCCCGCAAGACTCTAGCTTCTTGAAGCTTTCCACAAGCATCGCTACATACCACATGCCTATATTGCAAGATGTAGTACAGTTGGTTGAGCAATCTTCTAACTGATTCAGTGCTCACGTGTTTTTGATTTTTCGTAAGAGTAAAAAGTAAGGGTAAATATTTGGGCTGGCCGGGCTGCTTTTTAAAGACTGAATTTTTTTAAACTCTCAATAATCTCTTCAAAAAAATTGAATAAACTATATTTTTTTTTTTATTCTTATGACATAGAATTATGTCAATTTTTAGTTTTAAATATATTTAATTTCAGTAAACACTTTCACAATGAATCAGGGGATTGTGGCTTTTAATGAGAAAGCCACATTAAAAGCAACTAAGACTTACATTTCCAACTCTCATTGAACTTTCTACAAGTTCTTTAAGTTTAATGCTTAAGTAAACTTGGTAGTGAATATACTTAAAATATACTTCCATTTAACAGTTATTAATAGTTTATATTAATCTTGTGTTTATAATTTATAAACTTTCTAAACACCTCCTAGTATATTCTAAATTACTAACAAGGATATGTTAGAGGATGTGCCATAAATCATTTGATCTTCTAACTGTCAGACTCCCATTGTAATGTTGGCAACAAGAAGTTCCTTCTGTTTGAGAGCATGTGCATAGGAATTGCCATCCAGCTTGTTCTCCTTGCATGCAATTCAAAGGCCCAATCAATCTCCACACCAAAACTTTCTGGCACAATTCCAACCACAGTATGCTTGTAAATATGGTTTTTTTGTTTTTCTATATACTATATAGTTCCAATAAAATAAAACTAGGTGAATAGGATTTTTCAACCAAACATATAATTCGTATATATGTGTGTTTCGACATGATTCTTTCAAAAGCATAGTTATGAAACTGAAACTACATAACATATGATTTTATAAAGCTTATTATAAATTGATGTGGTTTTAAATGTAGATGATATATGATTCTCTTAAGCACTATTATAGAACTAGAACACAATCTACTATTCATTATAGATATTTTTTCATATAGATAATGTTGTGGTTTATAATGTCTTGAAGGGATAATGCTGTGGCTTATTAGATTTAGTACAAAATTTAAGCACAATATAATTTTTAATAAATCTGATATATTATTAATGATTCTCTCAAGCATTATCATGAAATTAAAACACAATATGGTTGTTGATTACACTTTGGCCAACTAATCCTATGTTGTAAAGTGCTAAAAGTATGTTGCAAATATATATTTTATTACAAATAAATTAAATATTATTTTAAGAAAAATTACATTTATATCTTTCAAACATTCAAATTTTCCCTAAAATTACAATTTTACTCTTACAAAATTTCAAATATTACACCCTTCAACTAGAATAATCTAGAATATTCTACTTGTTAATATATATTCAAGAGAAAACAAATAAAATAAAAGAAAACCAAAATAAATTAATCAAATTGGGTACCACAAAATTTGTGAGAAATGTCCACTTGATGGCATCATCTACAATAGAAAGCCCTCTTCTCTCAACCCATACAAAGTTTCCCTTTCGAAGAAAGAATGTTATTTCTTAATAGTTGTGTATTACCTTTATAGAAGCCCTCCAAATCAAAAGGATAGATAGCACCTATATATACCCCATAGTAAGCTTTAAGTGAGTAGCAAGGATGGGTATAGGATTGCATATGTTCCCTCAAGAACATGATAGCTACAGTTGCATGAGTACATGGAATACCAATCTTCTCTCAATTGAAGCAAGAATAAGTCTTTTTGGCAAACCTTATAACTCAAACATTGTGCTTTGAGTGAATCTTGAATAATTTTATATCAGCCAGACGAACAATATAGTAACAAGCACAACTACATGCTTCATGAATTTGAGCCTCAGCAATATCCACTAAATTAGTGGAAGCCATATTACTAGCACCATCCTAAACTCTACACCATTCAAATCATCACTTAAAGAACTGAGTCATCAATTTTGATTTAAAGACTTCTAGCATACCCAAAATTGACCACTCACATGCCTCAAGTAATTAAGCATTGAAAGACTGTTATATTGGATGTCAAATGTCTAAAAAGTTCTGCCTTAAAATTTATTATGCATTTCACTAATTGCCTCCTTAAAAGAAGTTGGAGAAATGACTTGAGTAGCTTTCCACCCCAAATTGAATAGAATATGCTAGATTATTCTCAGAACTTCCAAAGTAAATTTGTAATTTTGCAGTCTGAGGGGAATAAATATAATTTTCTCTTAATTTTATTCCAAAAACTAAAAGTAAACTATACTAGAAACTTATGATTGCAAACTAGATTAGAAACTATTTCTAGTGTGGTTCAAACTAGCACTAGAAATCCATTGCTACTATAAAGCACATGAACCATGCTACAAACCATTCTAAACTCAAATATGAACCAATTTAAAAACCATTCACAAAACCATAAAAATATCAATTGCAACTAGTTAAATTAAAAAAACCATATTCATGGATGCTGTGAACAGTAAATGGGTAGTAGCTATTAAAACTAGCATTCACTATCAGATAGATAGTGACCTAAATCTATATGCAAGAGAGTACCTTTTTTAGCTATATTTCCTGGTTCTAGAATGATTGGAACTGCACTAGAGTGGGGAGATTGGAGATATTGGTGTGGTGCAGATTGATCTTGCTTCCTGGCAGCCCATTCCAGATTTTAAACTGGTTATAACTTTCAAAAAAGGTGTAGCTTCAGTAAATCAATGGTAGCTATTAAAATTGGCATTCACTGTGGGATAGATAGTGACCTAAATCTATATGAAAGAGAGTCTCACCTCACCACTTGAACAACTTCTTCAGCTACATTTCTAGGTTCTAGAATGATTGGAATTGCATTGGAGTGGGGAGATCGGAGATATTGATATGGTGCAAATTGTGTAAGTGATTAATTTTTCCATTATACTTTAGTCACTTAACCATATATTTGACCATTTAGAGAAGTCCCACTCATAACTTTTATAAGTTCTATTCTTAACTTGGGGACTTAATAGCCCTACAAATAGCCTCTATACCACTTTAATTTTGCACTTAGTCTAAGTGTTTTATATATCCAATCTCAACACAAATACCTAAAGGTACCATTGATATATCAAACTATTACACTTTATAGGTGTCATCCTTTTGATTCCATAGCAAAGGCTACTTTGCCAAATCCAAGAGGTATTCACTCTTAGTTAGCATTTTTTGTTGTGGGCTCTATCTTTGGTTTAATCTTACAACTCTAAGTTTTTAGAGACTACTTTTTTTATACTTACAATACTATTGTATTATCACAACTTATTTCACTTAGATGTCTTTCCCATTTGGTCACTTTGACCAAATCACACCATTACCAACATTTCAAAAACTAGGAAATTTATTCCTTAATCTAACAAGGAAATTATCCTTGTTTAGCCATAGCATCACCTAGTGATCTCCCATAGACACATTAACATGTCTATCAATAGGTATTAAATCTGCCCGATCTTTAAGTTGTTGACCATAACCTTGGGGGTGGCAGTATGCCTAAGCTAGCCCTTTTGGTCAAGGGTTTATAATAATTGAGATTGGGTGTCCCTATATTTTTTTACCACGTTCTCAATGCCACTTATACCAGAGTGTTCAAATTAGATATGTTAAGCTTTTACACTAAGCACTTTTACTATGCATTATGACTCTAGGGCATCCCCTATTTAGGGGTGTGCCTAAGTCAACTTCCTTATTGAGAGTCTATGAACACCAAAAATGAGTGTCTTTATATTCTAAACCATCACTAT